TCTCTCTCTCTCTCTCTCTCTCTCTCTCTCTCTCTCTCTCGTTCTTTCTAAAGGTTTTAATTCAATTTAATTATAATAATTAAAATTGAAGATATAATTAAAAATATATGAAAAAGGTTTTTATTAGAGACTGTAAAACAAGTAAAACTAAAGCATTCAATAGTTGACTAAAAATTGACATTTAAATTTATTATTATTTTTTGTGACTTAAAATGAAACATGCTTAATGTGCCTAAATCATTATGATTAATCATTGTAGAACAACGATGTGAGTTGGAACACAGCATCGCCAACACTGACCAGTTGTATGACCGATACACTCATGGTATGGATCCCATCGGCATTCCTCTGCATCTGTTTGCCGTACGTTATCATCGATAGCTTACGGGCGCACAGATATCACATCCCATGGAATTACTACAATGGCAGCAGACTTATCACAGCCCTAACACTGACCATGGTCACTCTCATTGACTTTATACTATTGCTGTGCCGGGAGTTTAAATGGTCTGACAGTCCAACTGTAGCCCATATACTGTCTGCCGGTGTCTACAGTTTAACACGAATGGTATTGTGTGCCGTGTTTTATACGCACCGGACGTCTGGCGTTCACTGCAGTGGTATTGTATGGATATATCTATTACTGTCGACAATCACCGGGACATTCACTACTGCCGTCTACGCCACTGTCGATAACATGAGACAATCGCATGAATTAATACTATATGTGGTTCAGTATGTGTTGACCGTTATATTGCTGTTGTTTTGCTCGTTTGCCGACCGATTGCCGGAGCAGTCCATAGACGGCAGTGACGGCTATGGAGACAAAGCCGAAGTCGGCCGCAAAGTGTGCCCCAAAGAGCACGTGTCGTTCCCATCGAGACTGACATTCAATTGGTTGACAGGACTTGTGCTGAAAGGTTGGCGCCACCCGTTGACACTCAACGACTTGTGGGCCGTCCGGAGCGGTGACCGCACCCGTAATGTCTTCGCATATTTTAACAAATACTGGAAAAATGAAAAGTATATGGATAGACATGAGTTGACCGCAACCGGACTGTTGGATAACAAGGGTTACGGCAAACAACGCAAAAGTAATATATTTTTAGTGGTTACCAAAGCATTTTGGTGGTATTTTCTACCACCCGGTTTTATTAAACTAATCAGCGATTGCTTACAAGTGGCTAACCCTATGATACTTAAGTATAACTCGATTTTTAATAAATATAATGATTTAAAAAATAATATTAAATTTATAATTACCCTAAAGGTTGTTGATTGAGTTTACCACGAGTTCAGAGCCCGAATGGCACGGATATGTTTACGCCTCACTATTTGTTATCACAAATCTGTTGCAAAGTATAATCACTACATATAATGCTCAACGTATGACCGTTTTGGGTCAGTATTATACAAACATTACATTTTAAATGCAAATAATTAATAACTGTTAACAACACAGGTATGAGGATTAGGACGTGTCTTATTTCAGCCGTTTATAGAAAATCATTGATTTTAAGTAATTTTGCAAAAAAGGATACGACGACAGGAGAAATTGTCAATTTAATGGCCGTCGACTGCCAACGATTCTCAGGTCAGTCATTGTTTTGCCCACAAATTTATTTAAAGTAAACTAACCATATATCAAATTTAATGTGTTTAGATTTGTTGCCTTGGTTGAGCTTTCTATGGTCGGCGCCCTTACAAGTGGGCATTTCTATCTACTTGTTATACAACGAGTTGGGGTCCGCAGTGTTTGGGGGTTTAGTACTTATGATAGTCTTCATACCATTCAACCTATATATTGCCAAATATGTGAAGAGCTTTCAATTGAGACAAATGAAGCTCAAAGACAAACGGCTTAAGACCATGAATGAGATACTCAGCGGCATGAAAGTGCTCAAGGTAAATTAATAATTATATTAAACATTGTTTCATCTATTGTTACTCAATATTTTTTACATCCATTCATTCACAGCTATACGCCTGGGAGGAGGCGTTCATAGAGATTGTAACCCGGATCAGGAATAAGGAGGTGTTACTACTCCGGAAGGGCGGATATGTCGGCACAATATTTATTTGCTTTGGCTCTAACCTACCCTTCTTTGTGTCTCTCATCTCGTTTGGTCTCTATATAGCCATCGACTCAACCAATGTGTTGGACGCGTCCAAAGTGTTTGTCTCCATCTCTCTGTTCAATCTCTTGCGGATACCTTTACTAATGATTCCCAACTTAATTAACGGATTAATTATGGTAATCA